AATGCTTCATGTCAGCCTTGCGAGACACATCGCCCACCATCGGCATAAATGCGCACGATGTGCTACGAAGGCCCGAATAGAACAGTACCTGGGTAGATGAATAGATAAATAGATGGATGAGTTTTCAGTTTATGGATTGTAAATAGGAATGCATTTAAGAAAGGAGGTTTTTTTTCCGAACTTGAATGTGACTATGACTGTCTTGTCTACTAGTCGAGAGTAGATGAAAAATGGATGGGTGGATAATTATGGATATAGACATGGACACCTATAGATATACCTATGGGGAAAAATATAGGGCACCATTACAAGTGTCAGAGTTACAACCCACGAGGTTGAGGTTGAGGTTGAGTGAGGACCTGGGTATCTGGTACCTGTGCTCTACTAGCCGAGTGTCAAGTGTTGAGTACTGACTACTGATTACGAGGACATACTGTAGGTGTGTGTGCAACGCCATGTAGGTCCACGAACGTAGGTAGCAGGTAGGTAGATAGATAGGTTAGATACATGGAGTACAGGCATATTTGCAGTGGGACAAGTCGCTCCAGCACCCATCTTGAATTTCGATAGAAGCGCACCGGGCCTGGCTCGGCCTGGCCTGGCTCGTCTAGTCAAGGGAGCCACGCGAAAAAGCGCCGACACATGTACAAGACATACACAACAAACGTTAAAAAAAAAAGATGTGTGGCTAAGAGAACTCATCGCCCGCCATGCGGCATGAACCGATTCTGCAACGCGGCAAAGGTATTGCCCCCTCTCGACCCGGTGCTCCCGCTGTGCGCCAGTCCCGGACTGTGCACGCCGTCCCTTCCGCTGTCGCCGTCGAAAAGCCCGTGTCCGTGCCCGCCGGCGCTCCTGGCCGAGACGGGCGACCGGACGTCCACGTGCACGACCTTCTCCAGCAGCTGGGGACCTTTGAGCGGGTCGACGTTGCGGTACTTCTTGTTCCGCAGCGAGATGTCGTAGAACTCGTCCGGTTGGTCGGTGCTCATCAACGCCACCGTCTGGATCAACTCGTCCAGCGACTCGAGCAGGATGCTGTTGTTGGGCAGTGTCTCGACATAGGATCGGAAGTGCTGGATGTCCATGTCCATCTGAGCGATGCACGCCGTCGTGATCCTGTCCACTTGCGGCGACAGGGGGAGCGAGAGGATGCTCGAGGCCGTGTGTGAGATGGCGTTGAACAGCATGAGGTCCTTCAGCGACGACGGCAGAGAGAGCAAGACGCTGTTGATGATGTTCGACAGGTACCTCGTCAGGGTGAGGATGTAATTGGACGGCTCGGTGGGGAGATCGCGTGAAAGCCAGTCATACTCGGCCGTCTCGATCAGGTCGCTGACTTTGCTGTTGACCAGTTCGAAAATGCGGTTCTCGGCCGTCTTCTGGTGAGTGCTGAACTGGGCCGTGGCCTTCAACGAGACGGGTGGGCCGACGGTCCCTCCACCGCTGAGGGCCGAGGAGGACGACCGCGCCGTCGCCAGCAGGGTTTCGAGTTCGTGGCAGGCAGTGGTAAAATGCGAGAGGTTGATCAGAATCTGCACGATTTGGCCCAGGTACTGCGACGAGAGCTTCGACACCAAGCTGGCACAGACTTTGGTTGTCAGGAGGTCGTCTAGCGACGTCAGGAGTTGGGAATCGATCTTGGACGTGAGGGGCGAGGGCGCATTGTCCTCCTGCGCCGAGAAGAAGTAGAATTGGTTCAAGAAGTTGCGGATGTCGATGCAACAGAGTGGATACATTTGCGAGAAGGGGAAGACAGTCGGGAAAGTCATTTCATGCACTGGACGATCCGGCGTATACCAGGATACATTGACGACCTTTTCGAATTCTTCGGCATTCTGGATCGGCATGGGCATGTAGTCGTCTGTACCGACAATCTCGATAAAGTCCTCGCTGAACCGCTGCTTAAGCAGCTCAGCGTACTTATCAAACAGCACCAGCACAAAATTCGACATGGCCGCGGTGTTGAAGTTGAAGCCGTTCATGGTCTGAATGAACAACGAGATCAGGTTCTTGATCTTCAGCAGGTGCTCGGCATTGTCCACGGCAGACAGGGCCTTGGACATCAAGGAGATTGCCGTTTGGCAGAGTGAGTCCCACAGCTCCTCGACTTCGGTGGTAGAGCGTAGGTCGGGGACTTTTTTCATTGTGGCACGTTCCATGATGGCGAAGCCGGCTATGTCTTCCAGGAGAGTGTGCAGATCACCCATCTCGTCGTCAACGAGGGAGATGGAGTTTGAAAGGAGAAGATCGCGTTGAGCCCGACGACTGGCTGCGTAATCAGTCTTGAATTTCTCCATCTGACCAAGTGAGCGGTAGATATGCAAAGCTTCAAACAAGGGAGTAAAATCCACTTCCAGGTCCTCGCTTTTGAGCAGGTCGAATTCCTCGTGCTCATCTGCCACGAGTTCAATAGCAGAGTTGAGTTTGAAGCTGGCAAGGTAGGGGGTCTTTTCAGATCTTTCCTTCAGCCGCTGCTTGCGAAGGTCGGTATGGTAGAAGGAGAGCTCCCCCAGATACTGGGACATTTCTCGGACGCGAAATAGCCAGGTGTTGAGGTCGGCCATGACGGCTTCAGCAATGGATTTCTGGATCGCAGGCACCGATTTCTGAATCAGCTCGCTCAGCTCATACTGGGTGACATTCTGAAGGTGGACGCTCTGCAATTCATCGAGTGCACGCAGAGCGGCATAGTGTTTCTTCTGATCCCGAAGCTCCTGAACCTGGTTCGCCAGGCGCAAAACTTCCAGACAATCCTGCAGAGCATGCCGGGCGTCTTCGATATTCTGTCTAACACCACGGGACTCAACCAGGGCTTTCTTCTGGTCTACGAGACGTTCAGTGCTTGCTTGGATGGACTGGTTCAACTCGAGGATCTCGTTGGTGAGAGTAACGGTGCCTTCGCGAATTCGGAGCAGCTGATTGACAGACTTGACAAACTCCTGATGGTTCGTGTTGCACTGGCGCTCAATCTCTGACTCCCGCTCACCGGCAAGGTCGGATAACTGACTGAGCAGATGGGCGGTCTTGTTGCCATAGCTGTAGTCTTTGATGTAGGGGATTAACTGGTCTAATGTGTCTGCCTCCGATGAAGAGGTGACGATCTGATCTATGGTGTCAGCCTGGAATTGCACGATGACGAGGTCTTCCATACCTGCTGAAGCACATTATTTATGTCATTCCTGTAGGGCGCTACCGACGGCATTGTCAAAAGTGCTATGCTATCTCTGGAAACACTTGGATCTCCTAGGGCAGGCTAGCTTCCAGTGTCTGGAACTGGATTCGCGTCAATGTTCGGCTACACGTGGCTTGTCTTATGGTGGCATGGGAAAAGGACAATCGGACAAAGAAAGCTGTGAGAGTATTGGGTCGGATAGTAATGATTTCTTTTCGTGTTGAACATCCAAGCGCCTTGCGACGTTGCACAGAAGGGAGAATATGGTAGACTCTGTGATTCTCCTCTTCTTGACAACAGGAGAGACTGAGGTCGGCAGACTTGCCATGACAGCGATATGTCAGATACTATGTAGTCGCATCTTAGGACAACGCTAACCATATATCGTTAGGAAGTTGGCCAAGAACCTCAAGCAACAACCTCACGACTTCTCTTGTTCCCTTCTCTTCTGTAGATCATGCCAACATCATCCAAGTAATCCTTCTCTTAAGAGAGACGGGGCATTGCAGAAGCTCACTGTGATGTCTGTGAGTATTGATGAGCTCGCGCTGCTTAGGTGGGGCTTGAGGATATTCGCTTCAAGAGCAGACACTCTGCAACGTGTTTGGTTTGTCTGAAGGACAAGGGGAAAGGGCTGTGTTGAGACAAGAACATTGCACCTGTGCCTTGAGAATAATGTCAGCAATCCTGACTCTTCTGTGCTGGGATAAGCAGTGCAACAAGACAAGAAGAAGAACATGAATGAGCTAAATGCAAAGACGTGATCCATGGAAATGTGGACAAGCCGTTGTCGTGTGTCCAAGCCTCAGGGCCAGGTTCAATTCCGGATGAACAAGGGATTCGCAAAGCGCATGCGTCCGCTTATCAATATGGTGGCTGAGACCGTTGGGACCATGCAAGCAAAGACAACGGAGACAATGATGTCGTCGTTGTCTGGGCCGCTAATTCAGTGAAGACACCCAGCCGCCGCTGATGTCGTCGCAAGTGAGGTGCACCGTGAGAACGCAATGGGAGTCTTTGGCCTCACATCGGTCACATGTGGAAGATACTCGTTGCCGCAGGTAAGGGCTGTGGGATGGTCGCCGCGCATACAAATTCTACGGGCAAGACGCCGACCAAAGCGGCTGGGAGGGTTGGAATTGATTTGAAAGCCTCGTTTGTGGGTGAAAGTCGACGACTCTCACTTGGCATTGCCGTCGCTCCCTCTCCCTATCGTCACGACGACCATTACCTGCGTCATTCGAGATTCCTGTCGTCGTTTGAAATCGGTCTATTCCCGTTGCGGGTTGTTGTGAAGAGTTTCCCAGCCGCTCCTTCCCACGAAAAAAATTCGCATCTTCTTTTTTCCGACCCAACTCACCTCACTCCTTACCATCTCTCTCTCTCCTTTACCATCCTCATCACACTCCTTCTACTCCATCAATCCCTCGAATCTTCTTGGTATTCGTCCTCCTTCATCACATTCCTTACTACAGCACACTCTCTTCATTGTTTTCAGAGCGTCACCTCATTCCAAAACCTCATCTCTGCACGTTTTTGGTAAGTTTCATCCAATGCCCATCAACTCACTGCTCTACCAAGAGATGCGAGTTTGCGATGGCCGTCATCACTGTCCCTGCCCCCTCCCAAGCCTTCATGCCAGCGTCCGTGGCATTGGTTCTCACTGCCGAGCCTTTGCTCGTTGCCTGCATTGAAAACTTGATGTTTTTGGACTCGAGTTTTCAAACATCACCAGACACTCTCTTTCCATCCTCACCTCTTTCAATTTGAGCCACCTGCTAACTGCCTGCAATGAACAGCAATGTCTCCTCCGCGTGGCTCAGCCATGGCTTCCTCTCCTCACTCTACTGATGAGAACACCAACCATGGATCTCCATCCACCAACCTGACTGCGTTCACTCCTGAGGCCGACTTCGGATCCAAGGGACGTGTCTCTGACTTCGTTCGCCCTGTCTTGAAGCTTCGTCCTACCAATCCCAAGCATGCCAGGTAAGTGTGACTATTGACATTGGCATTCCCTCTCGTCAATGTTGTTGAGTAATTGACTGACTGTTCTCAGTGTCTGCGATGAGTCTGAAGAAGATGTCTTCCTTACCGCCCCTGTTGCCGCCAAAGGCCAACAACTCTCTCCCACTGCTGAAGTCTTCACTCCAAAATTGTCCAATGGCTTCATGAAGAAAGAGGGTCAGGCTCAGGCTGGATACGTTGACCGTGCTCAAGATACCGTTGGAGTAAGACCTTCCTGCATCGACATTGACAGAGTACATACACTAATAACCCTGCAGTCGCGCATGCCTGCTAAGTTCGCGTATTTCCCCGTCAACGTTCCTGGAGCTCCGCGTCCTTCTCAAGTCCCCGCTGTCAATCCAAACGCTGCTCGCTATGGATTTGGCTTGCTGAAACTTGATGAGACTCCCTTCAATCACGTCGCTGGTATCTTCCTCCATGACTTCGACATCACTGAAGGTGTCTTCAGTCTTGATGAGGGTATCTCTCGTTCCTTTGTCGTCACCGGTGTGCCACTTCAGTTCACTTCGCAGGTCGTCAGCCGCCACTTCCCGGTAAGATAACCCAATCCATTGGCTCTCGTCTTCACACGCATGTACTAACGGCAGCAGATTGAGTACTTCCCAAGCATCAGAGGAATCAACTCCACTGCAATCTCCAGCGGCCTCTTCGTTGTGTCCTGCGCTGATATTCGCGATGCAAAGCGAGCTGCGGACGTCGCCAACGCCATCTTGCCTTACAGCTACATCTTTCCCCTCAAGGCAAAGAAGTACACTTCGGACAATGGTGGAGACCCGTCCCTCGTCACCGACCATGAAGGACAAGTCATCGTCAGTATCTACTACAATGGACATGCCACTGCACCACCGGTTGAAGCAGCCCCTATTGTTGCTGAGGTCAGACGTCTTCTTGCACAGTGTGGTGACGTGAAGGCTTTTCATACCATCCCCACTACCCAGACTCACGTCCGCGAGATCCGTGTGGAATTCTTCAATGCCGACCTCGTTGAGGTTGCCAAGGATGTCATTCGCGGAACCATCATCCATGTATGTTGTCTCCCTCTGACCAACTCCAGCAGACTGACATATCTTAGGGTGCTGTTTTGGATGTCGCATCGTTCCAGCCTGACGTTCGTGTTGTTACCGAGCTTGACGAGGAACATCACGAACAACTTTCTGTCACTGGTCGCTCACGAGTCCCTTTCGATCCTGACTACGATCGTATTGCTTATGCAATCCAGCGTGATGGTCTTCGCAATGGTCGTCGCCTCAACCAAGCCATGAACCACAACGCCGTCGATATTGCTCGTATCCAGGCTGGCCTTGATGTCCGCACCACTGTCAGTTTCATCTCATCAGACTTTGCTGCCTCTACTGACATCATGTTCAGATCATGCTCCGCAACATCCCAAATCGCGTTGATCAACCCATGTTGAAGAATCTCCTTGATGTCACCAGCCGTGGCCGCTACGACTTCATGTACCTGCGCATTGGTAAGTTGAAACTTGTCTCACTGTCTCAGTTGCTCAATTGCTCACAACATTGGCAGATTTCGCAAACAACTGCAATGTCGGCTATGCCTTCATCAACTTCATTGATGTCAGTTCTTCCTTACCTCTACGTCATTGCTGCTGCTAACTCTTCTTCAGGCTCAGTCAATCATTCCCGTTGGTGACCCCATCATATTCACTTGTCCTTCCTGTCACTCACTTCTGTTTTAGTTCGTCCTTGCTCGCGCCGGCAAGCGCTGGAACTGCTTCGCCTCAGATAAGATTGCCGAGGTCTCTTATGCTAGTGAGTGTCACCTCTCTTCACTGTGCCGTCTTCACAATGAGCTCACCATGTCACGCAGCCATTCAAGGAAAGGATTGTCTTGTCCAGAAGTTTCGAAACTCTTCCGTCATGCTTGAGCACCCTGGCTTTCGCCCCAAGGCAAGTTGAGTCATCGCGTACCCTCTTTCTTTCCCAGCTGACCATCTTTGCAGCTCTTCGTCGCCGGCAATGTTCAAAATGCCGGGCAAGAGGAGAAGTTTCCCGAACCTGACAACCACTCAAAGATGCGTCGTTCGGTCGAGAATGCGGAGCATGTTGGTCTGTACCTCCCACTTCGTTTGAATCCTGGCTGGTACCCTGTGCCAAATCCTGGTGCTGCTGCCTTTCGTCGTCGCCGTCCCATGCGTCGCACCGGAAGATTCAACGTTGCTGAGATTGTCCGCAATGGTGTCTACATGCCTCCTGCTCGTGCCAACAAGCCCACAACGAGCAGCCCTCCCAAGGCTTCTGCAAACAAGACATCACCGACACGTCGCCGAGTTCCTTTCTTCATTGACACTCGCAATCCTTATGACCCGTTTGCCGGTCGTCCCCGCCGCACCTTCTCTCCGTGAGCATACTTATTCTTATCTCGTCTTCGACTTTCGGTGTGCTGACTGTGGTGCTTCATAGGACTTTTCGCGCCTAGGCAAGGCCAGGTGTACCGTGAAGAACAACGTCGTCGCCGCTCTCAATTTGACCGAGGCACCCCTGGTGCTGAGAACGAGTTGGGCGTTGCACCTCGCTATCGTCTTCAAGATCCCGCACTCGAACACATGGGCAATATTCATCTTCCACGTTATTAAAACAACATGATCGTGGCGCTGGACGTCTTTCGATGTTTCAGGTCACACCATGTTGGCATCATGGACAGTTGGTGGTGATCAATACCGGTGGTCTGGAGGGCCGCTTCTTGCCTGTCGGCTTGGATTTTCTTTCCTGCTTGACTTACGGAATGGATGGGACACTTGGTCTTTTGAGATCAAGTTGGTCTCATCCTGGACAGCCAGGGAAGGAGTGTGCTGGGCCAAGGGCCCAAGGCCGAGTCAATTGTTTTGTTTGCTTTTCTTGTGCCCCCCTGTGTTATTACACAGGTGTTTCCCCCTAATACTTGCAATGTTTTTTTCTCTTTTTTTTTGCTTTCCAAAGAAAAAATGTGAGCAGGGATTTCTATGAAATCAATGTATGGCGGTGAGATGGGGCGGAGCTTGGACTTTACTGGAGGACAAATTTTGTACCATCGACACAGCGTGTACTGATCACTCATAGTGATCCAATAGCTTACAAAAAAAAATGGATTCAATCCACTCGTCTTGTTCAAAGCCCTTAATTTGTCGTTGACGTTGTATGTCGCCTGGGAAAACGTAGGCGTTGAGGGTGCGGCGCGAGCCGCCGTCAATTTGTCCCAAACCATGCACCCTTGAACGGCCTGCTTTTCTGACATGTCGATCATCCACAAAGCGCGCGCCGCCCACATCGACTCTACCATCGATGCCAACGCTGCTTGATTGTGATACCTACCGCAAGCACATTCGAAAAATCACTGGTTTCAACGCAGTCGACGTCGGCTCAGGCGGCGTCACATCGCACGTGCCTTCTTGCTCACCATCGCGGGCAGAGCCCATTTCCTACGGCAGCGTCCTTCTTTGTCAGTGAGGGACGATATCTCTGGTTCAGGACACACACACAAACACACACATAAACAATGGCAAACTTCACAGATTTGACTGGCAAGTTCCGCTCAGGATCAAAGAAGCACCTGCAGGATACTACAAGGCGGCCCCGAGAGTCGTATGTGTGCACTCAGTGCAAAGACGCCAAACTGCGATGTGACCGAAACCACCCCTGCGGCAGTTGTGTGAAAAGAGGCACCAATACCATCTGCAATTACCCTCGTACGTCTGGAAATGTGCACCACGGCAATTCGATCCGCAACCGTCCCTCTGTGGCCGAAGACAGGCTGTTGCATCTGGAAGCCTTGGTCAGTCAACTGATGGAAAACCAAGCGGCGGCACAGGTTAGCAACGACACGGTACCACCACCAACCGCAAAACTAGTGACTCCGCATGAGGCATTCTTCAGTGACACGGCTGGTATTAATCATGAGGAGACCGCCTCTACGACATATGTTGGATCGACACATTGGTCAGCCATACTGGAGGATATCCAGGAATTGAAGGCCGCGCTGGCGAGCGTAGCTCATGGTCAACAAGCGAACGACAACGAAAATCTACCAGAACCCTCTAGCAATGGCCACGAGCTGATATTCGGATCCCCGGGCAACTATCCCTTACCACAGGTCCTATCTCAGTACCTCCCTCCAAGACAAGAGGTGGATCGGCTGCTCGCCGTCTATTTCCAGGGCGAGACTTTCATTGTCCCGTTCATTCATGCATATCATTTCCAGCGGCAGTATCGAGCATTCTGGTGCGAGATGACGAGCGTAAATCCGCTTTGGGTTTCCATCCTATTTTCAATCTGCAGCATAGCCACTTGGATCAAGGCCACGCAAGGAGTTTCATCCAATGAACCAGGAACCACTGCCGGCTCCAACTTTCACACAGCTGCCGCGCAGTGCCTGGTGGCAGGAGGGTATTACCAACCACAGCCACTGACAGTTGAGGCACTTGGGTTATATGCTCAATACAAGAATCTCCGAAGCCTCGACCCGTCGCGTGAAGCGGGAGCCATATTGGCCATGGTTGTACGCATGGCCCACGAGATGGGCTACCACCGGGATCCTGACTCTCTCGGCTCTTTTACAGTGTTTGAAGGGGAGATGCGTCGACGGTTCTGGTCTACATGTAAGCAGATGGACCTCATGATCTCATTTCAACTCGGCCTCCCAAGCACCATCTGCCTGGAGAACTGTGACACCAAAGCACCGAGAAATCTCATGGATTCAGATTTCGACGAAGATACCAGGGTACTACCTCCTTCCCGAGCGGAGAACGAGATGACCCGACTCCTCTGGTTTATTGTCAAGGACAGGCAAATGCACGCTTTCGGAAAGGTATACCAGAATGCACTTTCGTTCGAATTGAAGACGGAAGCAGAGGTGCTCCAGCTCGACCGAGAAATTCAACGCATGCACGAAATCACTCCAGAAGTTTTGAAGCCGCGGCCTCTGTCAGAGTCAATTGCAGAATCGCCATTTGCCATCATGACAAGACTCTATATCGATTTTATTTACCTGAAGAGCCTCTTGGTTCTCCATCGGCCCTATATGGCCCGCGGCAACCTGTCGAGTACACAATCCTGCGTGAATGCTGCAACACGACTCGTCAGCCAGTTCATTGCCGTGTACAAGGAGATGGAACCAGGCGGTTTATTGCACATGGAACGGTGGATGTTGACAAACTTCACCATGAACGATTTCCTGCTTGGTGTCATGACACTTTGCCTGATCGTCCACATTCGGCGCAAAAGTCTTTTCAAGGGCGTCCCATCGCTCGTTGATGCTGCCACCGAGGCGGAGGTGGTCGCTCTTCTCGAGCAGGCTATTGTCATCTGTACGGAGAAGTCCAACCTGAGCAAAGATGCAGCTCGGGTCTCGTCTGCCCTCCGTCTCGTGCTGGATAGCACTAAATCTCCGAATGTGCATCATGCCAACAAACATTTCCCACTTGGTGGCAATCGGACCAACATGGCTCACAACTCGCTGGAGCTCGACCCAGCCCTACTATTGCTGCAGTCTCAGGAGAGCCAGTCTTATCTTCCGGTCGATCAGGAACCGTCTTTTAGCTTTCTTGACCCCTTCAACTTCATGGGCAATGAATTTGACAGTATGGAATGGATGACGTTCGACTCACAGATCATGGGGGAAGATGGTCCACTGACGTCTCTGAGCGAGCTTGAAAATCATTGAGGATGCCATTAGCTCTCTCGCTCGGAGCTGGATGCACAAGTTATCTCCTTTGCATGGCGCAAAATTCGCTCGGTCACTTCCAATCATCACCAAGGCTGGACCCCGTCTTTCCGCACGACAGATCCGACATCTTGGTCTCTCAGTCCATCTACTACATCTCTCACCACGGCGGCTCCGACACTCGGATCCAATGCACCCAGCTGCTTCAATCGCTCCGGGTTGCCAAAACCAAGTCCCGTTGCCAGAAAGCCGGGGCTCACACACCACACCTTGACATTGTCGTCCTTCAAGACTCTAACCCACTCGCGCATCATCATGTTCATTCCAGTCTTGCTGGCCCTGTATGCCGGAATCCCCAGCCCAGTGAGGCCACGGTTGGTTTTGGGCCAACCCTTCTCCCCGGGGGACTGATTGACGATGACCGCTGGATTTGTGCTCTCGGTGAGAGTGGCAGTCCCGCTTGTGATGAAAAGGAGGCGAGGGTCAGAGGACTTTAGGAGGAGTGGGATGAGTGTGTATGTGAGGATGTACGTGCCTGTGACGTTGACATCCCAGGATTTGTTCCACATCTGGCGCATGGTGAGTTCACCAGAGGACATTCTTGGCTCGAGCTGGCCGCCTGTCGAAGCACAGGAAAGCATCAAGGTCAGCGTTGTCTTTTTATCGAGCTTTGATGCCAGGACGATGAGACTAAAGGTGCAGCTCGACTAATTGGGACAGAAGCCTCACCAGCGTTGTTTATCAGCACATCCAGCCTTCCATGGTGCTGCTCCAGATTCTCGAACAAAGCATTGATTGACCGGTCGTCCTCGACGTCAATCTGCACGGGCGTCACGACGCTTTGACTCTGGGGGAACTCGTCCTTGACCTGCTTCGCAGCCGTGGTGGCTTTCTCCAGACTCCGGCCGCCCAGGAGGATGGTGTATGTTTTGCCGGGTGACTGGAGTAAAGACCTGACTGTCTCGAGGCCCAGCCCTGTGTTGGCGCCTGTGATCAGGACGATGGTGTTGGCCGCCATGGCTGTGACTGTGACGAGGCTGATGGAGTTGCTGGTTGGCCGAAGTTCGTTGAGACTTGGAACCGCGTAGGGAATATTGAACTCTTCGGATCCTGACACCCCCGGATTGCTCTTGTCGGCCTGCCGGTCGATACGATTGTATTGTGCCTAGTTCTCCCACCTCGCTTTGCTGGCAAGCTTTTCTTTTGTACGTAGTCTGCGCAATAACCATGAATGGAGATGTGGTGTGGTATTTTGCAAGACAAAGATCTCCCCTCCCCTCCCTTGCTCCCATCTTTATACCTTTTTCCACCCATTTGCGTGCCTCCACTATATCTGGGAAGCCTGATTTCTCCACAGTCCAGACATCTTCCCTTGTCCATGACCGCTTCATTTCCTCTCTCCGTGTGCATCTTCTACCCCTCCAAGAAGCTACCGAGTAGCTATGTACAGATGTACGTCTCGGACATAAGGTACACGGGAGAGCCGCCAGAAAGTGGTTTCGCTTTTCTCTGATTGCAATCCGATCCGACACGGATAAACTCATTCATTCGTCAAGGGTCTGTATACCAAGTACTCGGTACAAAACGTCCCACAGGTGGGAGGATACTTCCCCCGAGTCCGCAGGATGGGGGCCGCTTCGAGGACCGCCACCCGTCGAAGATCTCATTGGTGGGTGGGTAGGTGGGTTGGTGGTTTGATCCCGTAAT